TATATATATAGCATTATGCTTAAATTTAATTTTTAAAATTTTCATTAAACATTCATTGAGTGAAAAAGGTGAAATATCAAAAATGTTGTAATGCAGAGTGACTGTAATTCAAACAACTGGATGTATTGATGAATAAAAGTGGTGGTTGTTATACCACAAAAGAGAAAAAAAAACTCTTTGTTTCACAAAAATAAGTTGCTCTCACAATATAGAGTTTGTGTCCCACTTTGTTCATTTACTGCTAGAAAGCAATCAATCTAAGATAATTCCCTGCATCTCAGCTCCCATCTACCGCCTTTCTGCTCTTGCATTTTCACAAATATATTTCGGTCTCAAGTTTAAGCAACCACATTTTGTTACACCATCTACACCATCCCATCACCTTCATGCCTTCCTCCGTTACAACATTTCCTTCGCTACGTCATTTGTACTTTTATTTTCACTTCATTGCTATGTAACAAGCTTTTCAAAACCTCTTGACATCAGTCAACACATAGATTCAAGAAGACTAATTCCACTTACTTTAATTGTCCTTTGCTTAGAAGTCTGCTATAGGTTTTGTCAAAATTATTCTAAGCTTGACCTATAGATAAATATATTTATCGATAAATATATTGGTATTCCGCAGTGCGGCAAGTCAGTTTAGGATATTCAAAAGGAGAATACCATCTAGTCGTCAGTTCCCTTGGCGACTTTATAGGCCAACCGATACGTGGCTATGCGACATTTTGGATCCCATACAACATTTCGTAAATATAATTCTGAATTGTTTTTGAAAACTAGAGGATGAAAACGCGTAAATGAACGGGTTAACACAGCTACTGAAGTACATCATACAGAGAGCGAAAAAGTATGTTGTCCATAACATCTTACTGTTGTACAATTTATTTAGGCTCTTTGGATCAAATACTTGCCAAAGTAAAAATGCATGGATTGGTAACCAGAAAATCGCAAAAGCTATAACCAACATTAAGACGATTTTTGTTGTTCTTATTTTCTTCCTGGTCTGTATCTTACGAGTTCTTGTCCTCGTAGATGTCGTTGATGATGCTGCTTTTTGTTGCCAGACTACCATGAGTATTCGGAAGTAGCAAACTGCTATGACGCTTAGTGGAACTACATATATCGTACTGAATGTATAGACCGTATAAAGTTGTTGTTGCAGGCCTTCGCTAAGAATGGTACCACAAGTTATTCCGCCTTCATGCACAATTGTTTTATTTAACACACCAGCAGGAAGCTGTAGCACCAGAGAAGCTATAAATGAAATAAATATATACATAAATAGTATTATGATTATTGTTATTATTATCATCATTAATACCACCGTATTTTTCGGAGAGTTTGTATATAGCATTATTATTGTGCTGTCTCTTATACACATCTAAAATTAGCCTCAAAAAGAAGCCCATCTATTACACTTGCCACAAGTCTCTAATTATTGATTTTTCGTAATATTAGCACAGTTCGGAAAGCGCCACCAGCGTCAGTTTATGTCGAGAAACTTTTTGATGCGAATTAGATTCCTAATCCCAGAAAAATTTTACTATGGAACGCCATGCAAATAAGCAATATGGAACGCCAATGGTGCCAAAATCGATTTATTTTTAAGCATTTTCACTGATTAAGACAAAGTTTAGGGACAGGCCCGGGATTTATCAATCTTAGCTTAGCAAATGTCTTAAGTCAAAACAGTTAAGATTTCCCTCATAAATATCTTAAACTGATTTATTACCCAATCTTAGCAAATTCTTGGCTTAAAAATCGTCCTTAGATGGCGCCAACGTACAATCGACTTTATAATTTTAAGCAATTTTTAAGCTAAGCAATATGGATAAATTTGACTTAAGCAAAAAAATGGACTTAAGACGAATTTAAGCTAATTTCTAGTTTGATAAATCTGGCCCAGTCTACCCATCTATAAACGAAGCCCATGTCTTTTCAAGATAGCCTGCGCTTTTTTTCGAGATAGCACTGTAGATGAATTTCAAAGAAACTAAGGCTACGTTCAGACTTGGAGATAAGCCAGGCTTGAGTTAAGAACGGCTCAACGTTAAGCCCAGCTTATCTTTGCCGAGCGTTCAGACTAGCGGGTTTAGCCAGGTGAGAATTTGCATAATAAGCTCGCATTACCGTGATTTTATTAGTTGCACTTTTTACTAGAAACGCGTTCAGAAGGAATTTAACCGTTTATATAAAAAAACAAAAACACGTGTTTTTGGCGTTATTCAGCAGAAACACGCCCTATATCTCAGTCATCCAGACTGATCTTTTTGGACTTGGCCTTGTAAGGCCTATACGTGAAACGAGAGCTACCTGGGAAGATGAGTTGCTTGATTGTCATCCGTTCAGGCAGCTTTTGGACTCGCCGTTAGTATGCGTGAAACGAGAGCTACAAGCAAAGATGAGTTGCTTGATTGTCATCCGTTCAGGCAACTTTTTGGACACTGCTGTATACTTGAAACGGGAGCTGCCTGGGAGAATGAGTTGCTCTATTGTCATACGTCCATGCAATTATGTACTAGCCGTTTTAGGCCTATTAAACCAGAGCTGCCTGGGAGGAAGGGTCGCTCGCATGTCATTAATTCAGGCACCTTTTAGACTTAGCGTTCTATCTGGGAGGATGAGTTGCTAGATTATCATACGTCCAGCCTGTTCCAGACTTATCTGTCAGGGCGTATGATAGCCTGGGTTCCAGACCCTAATTTAAGGTTACTCACTCTTTATTGCACTTAGTGTGCGCCATACCTAATTTAATTGGCGTCCCATACTCGATTTTTTTTTTTCGAATTAGGGCCTGGGCAAACGATTCATGCGTGCAATTTCCCACATCAAATGTGATGTGGGATATCGTATGCATGACTGATTTTGTAAATCACGTGATTGCATATTAATCAATCTTGGTAAATTTTCAAATTGAAGATGCGGATGTCTCGATTAGTATTTTTATACCTCCATGATTAGAACAAGCTAACCAGCTCCCTTTTGGCTACCTATACTTGAATTAGCCTGCTGAGAACGACATGGACTGATAACCGTAGGCTATACTTAGGAACCTTGCACTCACCGCTAGCTGCTACACAGATTTAGGCCTTTAGAGTAGAATATTGTTAAAAAGGTAGGCCTCCCAGTCTGTAAGTAAGAACTTAAAATTACGCCAAGCCTCTACTAGTCTAGGCCTACTACTACTCCTGACTCCAGACGAGGCCTGAGCCATCCTCCTGGAAAGTTAAAGTTTTGTTGTATTTGTATGGTATGCCATCTAGTCTAGGCTTAATTGTTTTTGCCATTGCCAAAATTAGTCTTACTAGGGTCTATTATAAATAGTTTAGGCCCGTTTTATTAGGGAGGACTATTTAAATTTAGTCATGCCTAACTAGTCGACGCGAGCGGCGAGTGACTCTGTTTCGTGGCTCCAAAAATATGAACATTTGATTGGTTGAAATTGTTTATTTCGGTCCGCCCATTTATCCAAATACGGAATATAAGATTACGTCATTCTTTTGGCATCCTGGTGCCTGACTTCAGTGTTTTACAAGTCGCTTATTCCGTCTATCTCTAAATTTGCTCTAAATTAACTTTCTCGTTGGTGGCGCTGTCCAGAATGAGAAAAATAATAAAAAATAAGAGACTTGTGGCAAGTCTAGGCGTATGATAATGGAGGAACTCACCCTCACATGTGAGTCCGAAAGGTGCCTGGACGGATGACAATCAAGTAACTGATCTTCCCAGGTACCTCTCGTTTCACTATACAACGGTGAGCCCAAAAGGTGCTTGAACGAATGACAATCGAGCAACTCATCCTCACAGGTATTGCTCCCGTTTCACGTTACAATGCTATGTCCGAAGATGGTGCGCCTGAACGGACTACAATCGAGCAACTTGTCCTCCCAGGCAGCTCCCGTTTCACGTATACAAAGCTAAGTCCAAAAGGTGCCTGAACGGATGACAGGCCAAATTTTAAAAAAATGTTTGTTTGCCCTCCTCACCCGCTTTTAAAGGCATGTTTATACTTCAACGATAACGATAAAAAAGCAATTGTTCATATAGAAAATAAAAGAAATAAGAGAAGTTTCTACACTAGAACGATTCAATAACGATTTATCAGTTATGCAATAACAACATATTTTGACAAATTAAATCAGATGACGTCATAATCATTGATAAACATTAAAATCGTAGTAGTAGCAAAGATTTTATCGTTTTTCCATGATTATGATGTCATCTGATTTGTTTGTTAAAATATTTTGTTATCGTATACACGAATCGTCCTAGTGTAAAAACTTCTCTTATTTCTTTTGTTTTTATTTGAACAATCACTTCTTAGTTTTTTTATCGTTATCGTTGAAGTATAAACAGGCATTTACTCAATGAAAAATAGGGGCGGAAAAAAATTTCCACCCGCCCCTTTTTTATCATTTAAAAAAAGAGGACAAACAATTTAAGCAACTCAAGGCCCAATCAAGCAACTCATCCTCCAAGGCAACTCCTGTTTCACGTATTATAGCCTAGCAGTGAGCAAGGCGATTCAACAAAAGGACGCACATCTTAGGACATCAAAATAATGTTATAACTCTGGCATCGACATTCTAGGCGCCGGGCATCCCTACACGCTGAACGTTACAAAAACCAGACCATAATTAACTGTCAGCGTGTGACGAATTACCTACGAGCGTGTAAGTTGCCATGATAATCGCGCATCGTGCGGTGATTACAAAGGCTTAGTGATATTTTGCACTAACATTAGACTAAATTATATTCGTTATTTCAACATTAATTTTACCAATGTTGTGGTGTATTGTCGTTCATGAGACTCACTTCGCAGAAAAAATTAATAAGTGTTCTGTATCTACTCAAAGGTTCGTTTTGTGCACCTTAGTCCAACATTGTCAAAATGACATTTTAATGTTATATAAGAATATGAAATTTTATAAAAATCGTAAATTTTCAATTGCTATAACTTTTCATTATATTGGTTAATTTTCACGAATCATATTGCAGTTTATAGAAGCATTTAACGAGCTCATCGTCAAAAGAAATCAGATGTAACAGACATTGCCAAGTACCCAAAATTAATGAAATACTGTAATAAATATAACATCATAAAACGTATGGCACGCACAGACTAAAAATTAACTAATAAACTAGTATCGGATTGTCGATGCCACAGTAAAGATCAGGACTGTACGAAGGTCTGCAGTAAACGGGACCCGAGGATCCTGTGGTGTATATAGGATTAGCAGGTTTCTGATAGCCCTGCTGGTAGTAACATAAAGTTAGGTACTGTTTAGTAGTCCTAACCGGTGGCAGCCTGGTCGAACGCTCGGCGTTTGAGTAGGGAGTTGTTCTTTGTTTTTTAATAACAGTTTCGATAGTTCCTCCATGTTTTATTCGCGGAGGTGTCTGTGTATCTGCTCTTCTGTACAATTCTAATCATCCAATTTCGAAGAACAAATTCCTCTTATCCTCAATGCTTTTAATGTTCGGTATGTTGTTTTGGGACGGTATGGATCTAGATGTGTATAAGAGACAGTGTAAGGCCTATACGTGAAACGAGAGCTACCTGGGAAGATGAGTTGCTTGATTGTCATCCGTTCAGGCAGCTTTTGGACTCGCCGTTAGTATGCGTGAAACGAGAGCTACAAGCAAAGATGAGTTGCTTGATTGTCATCCGTTCAGGCAACTTTTTGGACACTGCTGTATACTTGAAACGGGAGCTGCCTGGGAGAATGAGTTGCTCTATTGTCATACGTCCATGCAATTATGTACTAGCCGTTTTAGGCCTATTAAACCAGAGCTGCCTGGGAGGAAGGGTCGCTCGCATGTCATTAATTCAGGCACCTTTTAGACTTAGCGTTCTATCTGGGAGGATGAGTTGCTAGATTATCATACGT